GAGAGTGTAGAAAAAAAGAGGAAAAATTAGTAAATTTGTTTTGCCCAGCAAGCTTCTGTTTAGTATTATGTGTTAACTGTTTTAAGAATGTGGCTTCTGAATGGACAAAAGTGTTTGAGAAAAACTGTAAAAGAAAAGAATAGATAAAACAGCAGAAATAGCCACTTCACCAACATATCTAAAAAGTGAATGTAGCCGCATATGCTAAAGGTTTAAAAAGGAAGCCTGTAGTTTGGAGAACAGTGTTTCAGAAATCAAAGCAACAGAACATGTCCTCGTTCTCAAAACAATGCCCACTTCTTGCAGCTCTGCTGTGAGATGCTCTTGCTCCGTTTGGAGGCTGTCTGAGTGATAGCCCTCATTAGTGAAATTTGACACGTCCAGCAGCTGTCACTGAGTAGTTAGTGACAGCTATAATCAGTGTGTCCTCAGCATGCCTGCCTGTGTGTGTCTGTAAGTGTTTGGAGAATCAGCTCCAGCTCCAAACAGCCATGACTAACTGCGAGTGTGTGACAGTGAGTTTCGATTCGGGGTCTGTCATGTCGACTGCGCTCGGGCAGAGGGGACAAAAGACCCACAGGGCGACTCTCCCTGGCCCCTTCTGCATCTGAGCGGCCCAGGCCAACCTTTCCCAGAGCATGCTGGGAGCCACAATGCCCAGCCTTCAGCCCATTGGTTCCGCCCTATTAACAGCTTGTAATCTTCTCATAGCTCTGGCCGTGAGCCTGCAGCTTTGTAGCTAACTGGAGGTCTGATGCCCAAGACAGTTGCCCCCTCCCCACACACAGTCATTCCTTTTCCCAATCTGTACCCTTCCTGCCTTGATTGAAGGCTCTTTTTTTGTTGCATCTGAATCGTCCGCCTGACTTTGAGGCCCTGTAGTGAGTCTCTCTGCACCTGCCTCCCTGCAGGGATGCAAGTGGGAGAATATAGTTGTTGACATCTGTTAATTTCTCATTAGAACTTTGCTTTATGCAGGATTTCTTTTGCACAAGACAGCTTGGTACACTACGCCATCCAGCCACAAGCTGGCGAGGGCCCGGCCAGCCGGCGGTTGAGAGTGCGTGGCTGGCGTTTAGCAGACGCTCGGAGGAGTCTGTGTCCTGGCGATGAATATGGAAACAGCTGTTTTATGCTTCCTCACTGCTGATTTTCGGTGTGTTGTCTGTTTTGACCTTTCAGATGGCGGAAAAAGAGTTTCCAGTGTGAGCTGTCAAACTTGCGCGAGTAGCTGAACTTCCGTGAGCTGTGTTTATTTGTTTGTTTGTCTGTATGGGGCAATTAAGCTGAGGGATCTGGCAGCAAAGCACGGGTACATTTTTGGAGCCATATGCGCTGCATCATTGACTGAACTCCAGGGTTGGTTTTTCCAAAGTTACTTGATCTAAGGTCCTGAAATTTTTGAAAATGTTTTCATTTTCATGTGTTTTGGCCTCCCGTTCACATGAAAATGGTATGTTAGGTCAGTGAAAATTGAGAGTGTAGAACATATTCTCTATTTTTTTTAAATTGCTGGCATCATGTCCTCATCTTGGGTGCAGTCAGTCTGTTTGCATGTATTGGACAAAAACATTGATTACATGTTGACTAACTTCACCTTATTGTTACACTCAGTCCACACTTATGAATTATCCTTTTTTTCCATTTTCTTCATTTTCTTAATACATTAAGGTAATCATTGTGCTGTTTCCTGGCACTTTGGAGGCCCTAGGCAAGATATTTCGACAGGGCCCCCATCTTGCTAGCTGATGTACTGTAACATTAGAGGCTAACTAATAACAATGACTGCCACAAGCTGTCTAAATGATATACATTTATAGCTGGCTAATTGTGATTTGCTTATAATTGGATGTTCATTTGACCAGCTAACTTTAAGCATAGTTCGATCTCACTCTGGTGGCAGTGGTGACAGTGGTGCTTTTTTTACCATTATAAATGCTTTATTTTTTACAGATTTAGTGTGATTTCTTTTTTCTTCTTTGGCTGCTACTCATGTTACATGCAAGTGGCTGTTCACCATAAATATCACGCTTTTATGTGCACAGACACAAGGACAATCTAAACCTGGATTAACAGAGAAAGTTGTTAAAACAACTGAACCATGGTTTTGTGAACCTGAAGCTCAGTCAGAAAGCTTAAGTTGAATCTGCTTCATCAAACAGACCAGATCCACTTCTTCTTGTTTTCCAAGTACAAGCCAAAACAAATGGCATAATGTGAACACCACAAAAAAAAAAACATCTTTGAGCTTTTTTCCCTCATCTTTTCTATTTTCTTTTTCTGTTCCAGCTGCATACATTGTTTGTTGAGACATGATTAGTCACCTGCTTATGTTGCTTATTAGATAGAGCCAGCGATATAGATGTTATGCAGATACATTATCATCTCCTCCTGGAAGAATGTTCAATGCTAAACTTGATTTAACTGTAAATCATTAGAAATTGTAAAATTGTAAATATTCCATTTCCAAATATATCTTGGAATAGCACATGCTTACACTGTGTGATGTGATGTTGTCAGCTGTCAATTTCATCCTGTGGGGTATTACAGTGTTTGTGTATTTTGAGTATGATTGTCTACTTTTAGAGGACCATTTTAAATGAATTACTTCTGTTAAAAATAGCTTATTTTAAAGCTTAGCTGTTTGCGGTATTGGCTGATTCTCAAGCATTGGCCTCAATATCAGAAAAAAAGTGATATTGTCCAATCTGTAATTGCAACTGTAGCTAACTGAAACAAGAAGATACATTCAGATTAAAGTTTGGGTTCTAAACCTTTAAGTAATACCACATTTGTGCTTGTTGAGGACATATTTTAGTCTAATTTTAAACTGTTGAAAGGTATTGATTAATATACCTTTTTTTACAGAAAGCTTCCTTTACATTTTTTCATGTTTTTCTCACTTTTTTTGATTCCTCTGTTTCTCTCCATCTATCTTGTTGCTGGCTGTTCTCTTCCATATCTACCTTCACTTGTCCCAACCATAATTGCATTTTCCAATCAACCCCCATCAAGTCCCATCCTTTCACTCTGTTCTTTCACTTTACTTATTAGAGCTTTCAGGTTCAGCATACAGGCTGAACAAGTATGGTGATAGTATGCAGCCTTCTCTTATTCCTTTGCTGATGTGGTCTGCTTGATCTGAGTTTTCTCATTTGAGCAATGAGATGTTCTGCTGTATCCATTTCTCTGAGGACATTCTATAATTTTTCATGGCCGACAAAGTTGTTGGCTTGACTGTAATCAGTGAAACACATGTTGACTTCGTTCTTGTATTCCTTAGCTTTTTCAATTATCTGATTATTTAATCAATAATTAATTAATTATCAAACCTGATGATACAGAATGTAAATTGCAAGATCTAATTAATGACATAAATGATTATTTATATAATTGCTGGCAAATGCTTCTATTTATTTTGAGATTTTCGCACGAGGCTTCTCGAAATGCCTTTCTATTTTCAATGGACTTTATATTAAAATATCATGACTGATGAGAAGGAACTCAGTTCATAATATCAGTGATGAATGTGCGGAGGTTTACATCTGTATACACACTTGTCTGTTAAAGACAGAGGGAAGACCCCTGGGCCAACGGTGACCTGCTCGGCCAGGCGTGCCGTAATGTTTAATGGGAGTCCACAGGAAACAGGCTGGGTGTGAATGAGCTGATTGAAGCTCCAGGTGCAGCTCCAGAGACCCAGCCACAGCCTGGCCAGCTTGGTCCAGCCGGAGCGCACCCAGGCCCCCACAAAGAGGGCCCTCATCCTCCTGCCCAGCTCCACCATGCCCTGCCCCGCTCTAGCCTTGTGATAAAGGCCCACGGAGGGCAGGGGTACGGATGTGATCCCCCCCGGCACCACACCGGCCCATTCAGCCCCTGCAAGCTGGAAGGAAGGATGGAGAGAGTGGGAGGGGGGCGGTGGACACCAGGTTCTTTCTTTGCCTCTCTTTTTCATCTCCTCTCTCTGTCTGTGTGGCAGTGCAGGTGTCCTTTTCTGGCCTCTCCCTCACTCCTTCTTTCTGTTTCTATTTCTTTTCATGGAACCTCTCTCTCTCACACACACACACACACATGCAAACAAAACACACACAGCTGACAAACATCCCAGCTCTAATCCATCACAGGCTGGCTTTTATAGGTCAGATCGTAGGAAAACGCACACACGCACATGCACATAATACTGGCAGGTTGTGCTCTGTTGCCCTGCAGGTGCCTGGCATGGTGACTGCTCTTTTAGTGTAGTTTCTCTTTCCTGTCTCTGTAAGAGCATGTTTGTGGATGCCATGATACTATTCACCAGTCAGACAACACCAGTTACTATAACCATTTCCTATAACCCCCACTCCCTTCTCGTCTTTTCATGTAGGGAAAATGGAGCTTCACTTCCTTCTTCGCCTGTTTCCAGTATGGCCTCTTTTTCTCTCTATCTCCCCCTCTATTTTATCCCGCAACATCCTCTGAGGGGCAGGTTTATAGATGGAATGTCAAGAAAGTGAACGTGACTGTTTTGAGTTTGTGTGTGAGCGAGAGAGAGAGAGAGGGAGAGAGAGAGAGAGAGTTAAAACATTAGGTCATTACCCCTGTCTTCTCTTCCTCATTTCCTCTCTATGATCTGAGGGTGTGATCCAGTCAGATCACTGTGTGATGCAGTGGAACTGCTTAAAGATTAACAGACTAGGATAGACCTATCAGCTGCCAACAGCCAAAGGAACAGACACAGAAGACCATCTTTTGTCTTATTTCAGATTCTGTGCCACTATTTATCAACAATTTGAGGGATTCTTCTTGAGGAATTGGTATGGATTTGGGGGGCTGAATCACTGTTGGATGAATCCTTGAATCATTGGAACCCAAGTGGAATTGCTGAATCAAGGATCAAGGTCCATTGTCGTGGAGGGACTCAACAACTCTCAGTGTGATTAAGTTGTAGATGAGACTTTTGTGAGAACATCCTTGGCTTTTGGTTGAAGCAAGTTTTTTGCTTTGAGACTTGAGCATCCTGGTAACATGCAGCCTGTGTCTAGCCTCAGGTGCAGGGAGCAAGAAGAGCCATCTTTGCAGCAGCTCGTGCCCAGATCTGTCAGGGTTACTGGGGCTACAGGAGCAGGAGGATCATCCTCTGGTGTCATAGGTTTCCAAGGGCCCCAAAGACACCCCAAACTCCCTCGAGAGCTCAGCCTGCAGGAGCAGCAGGAGCTTAGGCGGAAGATAAACAGCCGGGAGAGAAAGAGAATGCAGGACCTCAACTTGGCCATGGATGCTCTTCGGGAAGTGATGGTACCTTACTTTTCCTCCCCCTCTTCATCTCCCGGTGCAGGAGGAGGAGGGCTGCAGCACCCTTATCTGCCTCCCGGAGCTCCTCCAAACGGCCGCCGTCTCTCAAAAATCTCCACTCTGGTTTTGGCACGAAACTATATCCTTCTGTTGGGTTCATCCCTTCAAGAAATGAGGCGACTCCTGGGCGAGGTCAGCATCGGGATGAGCGTTGGAGGGACGGTACCACGCCTCCTCCTCACTAGAGGGTGGCCGTTTCTCACAGGTCCAGGACAGCTTCTGCTAAGTCCCCGGGAGGTCCAGCCGCTTGGCCAAGTCAAGTGTACTTCACTGCCACTGAATGACCACTCAAATCTGGAGGAATCGTGGGGTTCAGGAAGGGTGAATGGAACCCCACTCTGCCCCTGCGGTGTGTGTAGGGTGCCCAGAGTGGTGCATGGTGCACCTACATCACGCTTCCAAAAATAAGCACAGGACACCCGAAAGAGGATGCACATTTCAGAGATCATAAGAAAACTGCTTTTGTATTACAAACACAAGCCCCTCTTTGTTTCATGTTTTCTTTCTCTTTTGTTTTTATTATGTTGTTGTTGTGGCTTTTAGGTTTTTAGGTGGCTTTATATTATTATTTTTTTAAAAGCTGAAGTGAAACACACTTCAGTACTATATATTTGCCAAAATTATAACATATCCCTAACCTTCACATTTTATTATTTTATTGCTACAATACACCCACCTCAACTCAGGAAGGGGTAGTTAATTAATTGATTATTTAAATCAGTCTTCTTCGAGTAAGCACCAATTATGCTGGGCAATGGCAGGACTGTTTCTTGCTGTAAGCAGTGCAGGCAGTCAGTCCCCAAGCCAGCACAGGGCCCCTAAATACACAGTTTTTAAAATGTAATTAATATATTCGGTCAAACATGTGCAGTGAGTTTGGAGATGGTCTTATATTGTTTCTCAAAATTAATGATTAATGCTTGGTCTAGTCTTGCATACGTCAGAATAATATTGGGGTGTTTGGCCCTCAAGTGGGATGTAGCTTAAGGTCCCAAAATGATCCAAAATGTGTTGGGAACCACTGATATGTGCAATTAAACAACAGAAGTGCTCAGTCTAAATAGCAAAATATGTAAACCAATATCCTAAACATTAGTCTGTTCTTTGTTGAATGAGACTTCAAACCCTGGAAAAGCACATGATGTATCTAAGTCCTAATATTTTGTAAAGAAAAAAGTAACATTTTTCTTCTACTGACTTTGACTACACTCATTATTCATAGTAAAGAGAATAAAACTACATTACAAAGAAATAGTGTGTATGTCTGTGTATGTGTGCTTCTGCAGCAGTTCAAGAAACAGTGAATATTCACCTTTCAACAGGCTTTTGCATCTTTCACTTTCTTCCCCTTTCTTTGTCATGTTACCCCCATTTAAAGAGAGTGTGTGTGTGTGTGTGTGTGTGTGTGTGTGTGTGGGTGCTCTTCATCTAAGTGAATGTGAGCCCTCACAGACTGAAATAATTACTCAAACCCTCTCCATGTGATGAGGAGGTGCAGCTTACAGCAATACTGCAACAGTCTCTCTCCGCCCTGGCCTTGCTTCTTTAGCCCACCTCAAACTCCTATTCAACTGGGCCAAACAAACCCGAACATCAAAACCTGTCCCTATAATTACTTCGCTCCACTCTCCTTCTCTTCCTCCAGCTCTCCCTCCCTTCCTCCCTCCCCTGTCCCCCATCCCTCACTCAGAGAGGTAAAAGGCCGTTTAGCCGGGCCGGTGTGCCGCATACTCATTACGCTCTACTCACAATACGTTCAAACGCCCAGAAAATGTGTTTCCATCAAAAGAGCTCACCCTGCAAAAGTAGAAACGACATCCCCCCCACCCCCTCAGCACCCAAAACTCTGACGTCCGTCACCTCGGCGCTGAAGAGCAGGCCCCCTTTCAATCCAAATAGAAAAGGAGGCAGCAGTGAAAGAGAGCAAAGGCAGTCCCTGCTCCAGGATTGAGGGGCACGTGAGTGAATGATAATGCTGATCATAATCATAATAATGATGATAAAATAGTGGGAATAATTGGGCCGGCGGTGAGAGGGGGATTAGCCTGGCCGGGCGAGTGAAAGAGGGCAGCAGGTTGAAAAGAGGGAGTCTGTTACCCATCGGGTGAGACAAAGGGAGAGGTAGATGCCATTAAGCAAGATTAAGCCTAATAGAACTTGATTTTCTTACAAGAAAAGAAAAGGAGAGGGAGGGGGTGGACCAAGAAGTGAGAAAGATCAAAGACAATCCGACTTGAGACCCCACTTCTTGCAATGAGACGCACATACACGCTGACTTAGTATTCTTCATATTTACATATAGCTGTCTTACGTCCTAGCTTGAAGAGGATTGCCTCACTAATTTTAACTTTCATTCACCTAAATCCTGCTCTGTGTCAGTCTCTCTCTCTCTCTCTCTCTCTCTTTTGTGCTTGTGCTGTAACTCATCAGTAGTACTCAGTCCAGGCAAAACAAAGAGAAACAGAACAGGAGAGAGAAGAACAGGGGCGTCCCATTGTTCCTCACTAAATACCAATGTGTCGGTGCATAGCTCACTGATATACGACCAGCAGCCTGGGTCGCTGTGTGGATGCGTGTTTGTTTGTATGTTTGTTTCTGTGGTTTATGATTGAATCATGTTTAAGCCTACAGATTGGTTGATACTTATTCTTTTATATCATTTTGAACATCCATGTAAATTTGGTTTAACTCTGTGTGTAAGAATGTGAGGATGGGTTGAAGACTGATTGAGGGCCATCCATCCTTGGCTCTGGGTGAAAGGACAAGTGTGAGAAGAGTTCCACTCCTCCTTTCAGTTCCTCAGCACAAGCTGAGGATTTATTTCTCCCTTCCCTGGGGTCTTTTTTTACCCCCTCAGTCCAGCCAAATCTCCAACCTCCTGGTGACTTATAGCGGGTGAGAGAGTCATCGATTTATCACACAGCCCAGCAGCCACACGTTCAGGAGAGAGCAAAGCACCAAAGTACATGTTTTTATATCAATGATTCAGTAATTACACTAATAATTAGACTCTTACACAATCTCTCAACCTCTTCTCTTCTCTTCTCTTCTCTTCTCTTCTCTTCTCTTCTCTTCTCTTTTCTTTTCTTCTCTTCTCTTCTCTTCTCTTCTTCCATTCATCTCTCCTCTCTCTCTTTCACCTCATCTCTCTCTTTATTTCTCTCTCTCTCTTTTCTCTCTCCCTCTCTATTTCTTCCCTTTTCTCTCGCTCTCTTTGTCCATCTCACTCTCTCTTCCTCCATCTCTTTTATTCCTCTCTATTCTCCTCTCCTTTGCTCTATCTCTTTGTCTTTCTCACCTCTCTTTCTGTCAGTTTCTCACTCTTGCTCTGTCTTTCTCCCCTTTCTGCCTTTCTTTTTCACTTTCTTTCCCTCTCTCTTTCTACCTCTTTCTGTCATCTCTGTACTTTTCTGTACTCCTCCTCTTTCTTCCTCCCTCTGTCACCTCCCTACCTCTCCTTCTCTTTTTTTCACCTCTCTCTCATCTGTCCTTCATATTCTATAGTCTTCTTTGTCTTCTCTTCTTTCTCTTTTGCTCTGTTCTTCTCTTTGTAAATTCTTTCCCTCTAACCTCTCTCTCTCTCTCTTTCTCTCTCTCTCTCTCTCTCTGTCTCTGCTGAGAATCATTGGGCTCAACGTGGGGAGTCTGAGGTATAGGAAATGCTGAGCAATAAATTTGAGCATGTGAATGAAAGAGAGAGGGAGAGGAGAAGGGGCGGAGCTACGGGCCCTGTTCTCTTCACACCCCTCTTATTATTTATCTCTTTAACTTAGACCTCCTGTACCCCCCCATGCACACCCCTTAAATTCTTGACTACTGTTCTACAACCCAGCCTTAACCCAGTACACTCACTCTACTGGGCCTAGTAATGACCTGCGCCATTAACCCTCCACTCTGAGCCCACCCCTAACACACACACACACACACACACACACACTGGTTTCCATAACAGTTCCTCATTATTCTAATGCCCCTGTGTATCCTGAGTGCTTCGGGGTGGCACAGCATGGGAACAAGCCTGATTTAACACACACACACACACACATGCACACACACACATACACAATAACACATATATAGTGCTGTATGAACTTGTGAAGAAATCAGAACTGAGAAAGACAAACTTCTCTCTTCCCAACACACAACAAGCACACATAGTGTCACTGATATGAAGCACTGCTTTTATGATGCTTTAAAAGCTTTTTGACTGCTAATGGTGCCCTCTGTGGAGAATTTTACATATACAGCCTGCTAAACATGAATGAGTCTGTGAGTTACAAGCCACAACCATGAGGTGCTTCACAAATGGTAACTACATGTATTAAACCTACCCAATGTGGGTTTAACACTATACACTGTAAAAAATGGGGTATTAACTTAAAAAAGTGTCTAGGCTGCCGTAAATTTGTGAGTTATTTGAACTCAGGGCATAAAACCTTTATAATATATATATTTTTCAATAGCTGAAGCTCACATTGTGTGGGCTAAGTGAAACACACTATCAGTACTATATATTTGCCAAAATTACTACATATTCTGGTCACACTTTATTTGGATGGTCCCCTATAGATGAAATGTAGATACCTATATTATTTACAAACATCCTGGTGATACTCTGTTAATTATCAACACTGTATTTTGAATAAACAGTGGTCAGTTTAGGTTATAGCAAGATGTTATTGAAAAATGAAATAAACACATAGGCGCTCTCTGGCTCACTGATTTGTTGGGATTTTTTAATATGGCCCTTTTAGTGGTTGAGTTGACACCCCTGCCTTAAAAGCTTGCTGTACTATTGCAATGAAATTACACAACTGCATGATTTATTACTACTTAGTTATGTAATGAATTACATGAAAATGAATATTCTATGTCAACAGGCTTTTAGACTTAGGCTTGTTGTTGGCAGCAATAAAGTGACAGTAGTCACAGTAGTGATTTTGTAGCAGTCAAGTTGCAGTTGAATCTATATTTCCATTTATTGCAACATCACCAAAAGGCAATAAACACAAGGCAAAATAGTTAAGAATGCTTTTTTTCTGCAAGTGAAGACTGAACATATAGCAGGAATGTTTTATTAGAAGAACTTTTACTTTATAATAGTTATAAATGGAATCCCAGATGGTTGCTAAGGTGCTGCCACGCCATTGCTATGGTATTCCAGGTGCTTGCTAAGGTGCTGCTAGGCAATTGCCATATCCCTTGTAGTTGCTGAGGTGCTGCTAGGCCATTGCTATGGTATTCAAGCTGGTTGAAAAAGTGTTTCTAGGCCATTATTTTGCTATCCAGGGTAGCTGCTAAGGTGTTGCTAAGCTTTTGCTATAGTGCCTCAGGTCACTGCTAAGGTTTTAGTTGGGCATTGTTATGTTATCCAAGGTGGTTGCTAAGGTGTTACTAGGCTGTTGCTA